GAGTCAAACGTATAATAATATTAATATGATAATTATTTTTATAAATTTTATTTATCACAAGGTTTTAAGGTTATTCAGAAAAAATGTATTTGTTAGATCAATCCAAAATACATTCATTTATATAACTTTTTTTTTTCTTTGAATAACCAACCAACCAACCAACCAATCAATCAATCAATCAATCAATTCAAGTACTGTTTAATTTAAAAAAGGCAAGCATGGCAGTGTAAAATTTTTTTAAAATTATTAAAGCAAAGAAAATTGAAATCTTCTCGCGTAACGTCAATAGATTTACATGTAACGGGAAAATACTTTCGTTTCGCGAAACAATAGAGGTTTCATTTTATAATGTTTAAATATTTGCCAATTACAATATCTGCAAAAATTTATTATTACAACATGTACATAATAATAAAATCAAATAAATTAAGACTCCTCATAAATAAAACCCTCTTCACTTTCAACCCCTCCTTCCCCTTCATCCAAATTCGCGTCCACAATCAAATCAGCACATTCTTTCCCTTTACTGCTTGTGGCGACTGCATTCATTGCATTTTGAAACATTGTAGTTCTTCTTGTTGATGGGTCTGAAGGACTTTCTTCATTGAGATCGAGATCTGCTTGGCTTACAGGTCTTTTGTTGGGCGATTCTTGGTGGTGATTTGCAGATCTTTTTTTATTACTAAAATACTTTTCTTCAAAGTCCAGGTACTTTGACTTTTGTGCCTTCCAGGAAGAAGGCCCACTTTTGTTTCCTTTATTGTTAGTGTTTTCTGAAACGGGGAAAAGCCATTCAATCTCTTTGCCAACAATCTGCACCATTCTTTTACCAACAAAAAGTTCTCCTGCTACAGTGAAGATAGCTTTTCCATTAGTGGCAGTTGTGACAGAGCTGTGGCGTCCATTGTTTGGGTTATAAAAACATGGGACATCCATTGTAGTGTATGAGTTTGCAAATGGATTGTATATTTTTCGCGACAAAGTGAAAAAGCTTGCACCGTCTTGAACTCTAGATGGTGCTGTGCATTGAGCAGTGAAGGTGCCGAATAAAGGATTGATGGGTAAATCATAGATGCTTGGATCATCAGCAATCGTTTTCAGATCAAGAAGAACAGCTTGGATCAGGGTAACCTGAATCAAAAACAACACACATTATTATTCATTGTTGAATAAAACCAAATGAACAATTTATTGCATATTAATATAACAAAAACTCACATATAGCTGCGAATCATGAATCACATATTTTCCAACAAACATCATAAAAGAATTTTTCTGTATATCTTGGATCATGATGTCTTCGTTGGAATTAAAGGCCCTGAACGTAAAGTCCAAAAAATCATTATTGTCAAGTCTTGAAGTTGCCACACCATTCAAAACGTTAGATCCACTCACAGACTTTACAAATGTGATTGTAGATAAGATGGAAGACATAATTATTTTTTATTTTTTATTTTTTTATTTTTTTAGATGTGATTTAAATTGTTTTGTGAGTATTGAATATTTTCTTTGCATCAAGTAGCTCATTCATTTAACTTTTTTATACAAATTTTTTTCATCCAAGAATAAACATTGATTTTTCTTCACTATCCAAATCGTAAAAATCAGCACAAGAAACATATGTTAATGTAGACATGACAATAAATGTGTCTGCATGTGAAAAAAAAAGAAAAACATAAGGTGTAAAAATAAACACGTAGTGCATAGGTACGTGTCCTTAACAATTTCGAACACATCAATTGACAGCAAACAACAATCAATGATGGGCGTAGGAACACATGTAGGAACACATGTTAACATTGCAGCATGGATGACATGACAATAAATGCGTCCACGTGTGAAAAAAAAAGGAAAGACATATGGTGCAAAAATAAACACGTACGTGTTCTTAACAATTTCGAACACGTTGATTGACAGCAACAACAATCAATGATAAGTGTAGGAACACATGTAGGAACACATGCTAACATTGCAGAATGGATGACATGACAATAAACATATCCACATAGCATAAAAAAAAGAAAGATGTATGGTGTAAAAATAAACACGTAGTTGCATACAATTTAGAACACATTGAATGTTCACCAATGATTTTGTAACAAACATGTTGGTTGATCGGATAATGGTTCACAGCCATGATCTCATGCGCCTGAATCAAGAATCAACAGATAAACATAGATCTCAAATTGAGGTGCATTTGTTGGTTTGAACTTAAAATTGTTGAACTTTTCATTAAAAAAACCAATGCAAAAACATGTTTTCTTGCCATAAAAAAAAAAAAAAAAACTCAGAAGGTCCAAAATCATGTTTTATTGTCAATTTTTACAACAATTAGTTTAAAAGTTAGTTGTTAAGTAATTTCCGGCCAATTAAATCATTTTAATTTTGGTTTTTCTTATCCAATGATTCTTGACTGGGGTGTTACAAATTATAATAAACACAAACATAGTTGAGCACACATATAAAAAATCATATGTGCGGATTTTTCACCGATCAATATATGTAAATTTTTTCAATATGAAAATTCAAACTCTATCTCCTCTAGATTTGTAAAATAAACCTTTGT